ACATCATTATTAAACAATATCCAACTATATCATTCAGTTAACAACGGTGATAAACTAACCTCGGCACAAATGAAACAAATTGATTTAGGCATCAAGGATTTATTTCTAACAAGATGGAAAGGTGAGGTCTATAATGATAACCGCACCAAAGCAAATGAGAAAAACAAACTAAGAACATATCGGCTAATCAAATCAGATTTAAAACTTGAGCCATATTTAGTCAAGCTAAAAAACTTTGAACTGCGTAGTGTGCTTACCAAATTCCGTCTTAGTGACCATAGTCTCAAAATTGAAATGGGTCGTCATAAAAAAATCCCACTAAACAACAGGGTTTGTGACATGTGTAACAAAGGTCTAATTGAGGATGAAATGCATTTTCTGCTGGAATGCAACAAATATAATGAGTTGCGTGCCAAACTGTTCAATAAAGCTAAGGATATGATCCCAGCATTTGAAAATAAACCTGCAGAGAAAAAATTCATGGAATTGTTACAGAATGAAAACATTATTATACCAGTAGCACAGTTCATAAGTAAAAGCTTTGAAGTCAGGAAGCAGGGTCTTACTTGACATCTTAATGCCTGCTGTCAATTTTGTAATTTTATATTAGATTGTATTTTAGAGATTTTGTTTTATTTAGTAATTTAGTGATTGTATTTGTTATTTGTTTTTTAGTATATTGTGTTTTTGTTTTGTTTTTTATATATATATATTTCTCCTTGTACTTTGTGACCATTTTCTTTCCCTCCGGGGATTGTGTAAGAGTCAATAAGTAAATAATACAAGTTACAAAGTATTTCAATTCTGGTGGTTAAAATACCAGCTAATCGATCGTAGACCACAAATTTGGAGTCCGTTTATGATATAAACGAAGGCAGACGATTGCAAACAACTGCTGTCATGGCAAAACGTTGCACATCATGAATGATTTTTTTCGCTGCATGCAAATTATTTTCCTTGATGCATTCAACAAAGTTAAAGCTGACGTACAACATTCGTTGCAGAACGCGTGACTGAAAAGTACTTCGCGTTCCACTCGCGTTGAAGCTGCCGCCTATGCTAATGAGCATAATCGTCAGGACGAAACCTTACAACTCCAAGATGGCGATAACGATACACCGTAAATAGGCAGTCAAAACCAATGTGCACGTTACACTATTTAATTTTTCTAGCCAGCGGTGTGATGTGTCTAATCACTGTAAACCATGTGTCATTTGTTTGGTCCACAATTTGTCTTCCATGTGCTTGCCGATCACCGAACAGTGCGGCATGTCGCCGGTACATAGTGTTTACACACTTTTTTTACCGTACCATTTTTACCATTTAAAACTTAATTTTTTATAAGGCATGCCGTGAACATCGACCATTGGGATTTGCGCTGTTTGACCCACCAACCAATAGGAATCATGCTCTTCGCAGAGTGACACTGCGATCCTGTCGCAGAGTGCAATAATCGACATTCGGCGAGTCGCACAATCGCGTCGCAGAGTTAGTTTTTAGACCCCCATACATACATACAAGCAGTGCGATAGCGCAATCCAGTCATGCTGCGTTTCACAACTGCATAGCTTACTTGTTGAAATTGTTGATTATTACTCATCAGTACTGATTATAATAACGTACGAAAAAAAATTTGTTGAATTGTTATAAAATGCAAGTAAAATTCAACTTAGTTTCACTGTAAGCAAATGATTTTGGTCACATGAAAACGCTGGATGCGATTGATATCCGCCATAGGTCGGATAGGTCAAGTCGCTAATTAACCAATCAAAATACTGGATGGTGCCGATGTGTTCGAATTACCATAGTTCATCAAATGTGTAGTTGACAGTTCAGCGACTTCACGGTGAACACAAAACAGAAAAGATTTACTGATGTTTTAGTGCGATCTTTTGCTTTGATTTCTATAGGAAAAGATCATGATTTTTTTTAAATCAAGAAATTAGTTGTTTTTGACAGAAAAACTGAGCATTGAAGAAGAATTTAACACTTTTACTGTGATAACAGCTCATTGTCGAAAACTTAGGTTGCCACCAGAACAAAAGCAGTTTCACTGCGTGTCTTTAATAATACATCTTATCATCGCTGAACAATAAATAGATGTGAATATTTTTTAGACATGTGGTCGGAACAAATGAATATGATTAGGAAAAACTCCCTTTTGGACCAGCTGCATGATTGAAACAATGAAGTCAGTCACGGCCTTGTTGAATTAGGGGTGCAGTTAGTAATAGGTAATTTTTATGTTTACAATTTTTGTCAAGAACTCTTTAAACGTGAAGCCAAATTTGGGGGTGCGGTTACTATTACGTATGTGGTTTATATTATGACTTTTCTGGTAATTTGCATATTAATTTGCATATTAATAAACATAATGTACAGTTATATTTTTTGATAGAAATTTTATGTATACAGTGTTAATCAAAATGAAGTACAACCAATAAAAACTTTATCTTTGTAAACAAAAGTCAAGCCTCTTTTATGTGTCACTAAAAACAACCACATTTTAGTTACTGTCACCGCCATATTGTTCTGAACACCAAAACAGCAACATTGCCAGCTAAGTTGCTGACTGCTTTGGTGTACGCGTCTGATTGTTATCTTATTTGACCCCTTTGGATCAAACTAACACCAAAAGGAGACGTCACACTGATTACGAGAAACACACATAAGTCAAGTATTCTGGAAATCAATTCAAGGATTACACCCCCAATTTCAATGTATTTAAATATTCCGTGTACGTTGCCATATATTATAATGTATGTGATATAAAAATATAAGACACACTGCTATCGGTAAAATGTACGTAATTTTTTTTTTTCACGACTATTTTAATAATTTCACAATGCAAAATTCCAGGTTCGTTGATCCTACAACCCGGTCATATATAGTATGTCAGTGACTGAATGGATTTTCGCTGCGATATTTAGCCAATGTCGAAAAACTCGGGGAAACAGGATCAACTTGTGCCTCTAAGTCGACTGGTCGTTCACGTACAAAGGCGATCACCGAAGTAGTGAAATTTACTGAGTTTTGAAGGCCTACAAAGCTAGATGTCTGCTAGCGAAGTGAAAGGAAAGCTGTTGGATGAGGGTGTTTGTACGCCCAACACACTGCCATCCACAAGAACCATATACCACACATTCAAGCAAGATTTAGACTACTCATATAAAAAAATTTACTTCTATTCCAAAAGAACAGCTAATGGAACATAACATGGACAGAATCATGAATTATATCGACATGATTTCTCAACTTGACCCTCTCTGTGTTCATTTTTTTGATGAGGTGGGAGTGAAACGCACGACGTGCAATCGTGTCTATGGACATGCTCCAGACGGTCAGCCGGCAGTGAAAGTGCAAGATACGCATCCAATATAA